AGGAGAGAAATTTACCTGGATGCGATCGACCCTCCTGGCACATGCAGCCACCTTCATGCCTGCCTTGGCCAACTTCATGGCAATAGCTGCACCGATCCCTGAACTTGCACCTGTCACAAGTGCTACTTTACCCTTCCATCGCTCCATGCCTTATGGGTTGTAAATGGAAATATTCACTTGCGGGATAAATGGTACCTGAATATTGAATCAGACAGACCTCACCATACGAGACGAAATATCTAATACTGACTCATGCAAAAACAGGCACCAAGAAATGAAGCATCCTGCATTGAAGATGAGATAGGCACTATAGCTGGTTGATCTATAAATGCTTTTCCAAGAGCCAGCATGCATCACGCAGGTTCGCTGGAAAACAGCCAACGAACCTCTGGCTCTATACCTTCACAATGTTCAAATCCTCAACAAATCCTCTATAGACGGTTGTGTAGCGAGAGGGTAGGGTGAGGGGGGGGGGAGTTGGAGCCTCCCGACCTCCTACATGCACGAATTAAAAACCAACACCTTATGATGTGCACACTTCGAACTGAGTGATTGAAGCTGTCCTCATGCCATGTTGAAAGGAAATTCCATATTACATGAAAGCTTTCATCGAGTAAAAACACAATATATTTGATATTTTGGTTATGCATCATGAACATATTCTTAAGTTTATAAGCCATTATAACATATGTATCACTGGTAGCTTTCTTTGTATACCCAGGAGCAAAATTTTTGCATGCAATCACTGAGTCACATGGCCATGTGAGCACGTTGTGTTGTGCATGCAATGTGAACATGTAATTCACTTCAACACTAAAAGCGTTCCTAGGGAAGATATTGCATAAAAAATTCTTCATGGTTGTGTCAAAGCCCATATACAGGGTGTAACAGAAGTCACGCACCATAGGGTATTCATTCGTATTTTAAAAGCTGAAGATGTGGTTAGAAAATCAACAAAAGAAGAACGCGTTCAGGTAGTTTTGACGTGCGCAAAGAAAGGAGGCTCTCATCGAACATTCGCGGATGAACTCAATATGAAGCATCCAGAAAATTGTGAAAAAACATTTTAAGACTGTCGCACGCAACTTCTGTTTCACCATTGTATATGAGAACATACACGATGCTCGCTGTTATTACTCCACACGTCTTGATAAATAGAGCTCTCGGACGCTTATGGCAGAGTCGAAGAGAGTCTGCATGGAGGCTTCTTAAAATTTTTCACGAGTCGGCCGGATGATCATTTCATTCACCTAATAAAGGGCAGAAAACCATACAAATACATTCTTTCGTTTGCAAGGGATACACCTTTTCATTGAATTTTGCTGAGCAAAATGAAGAAATGAAGAAAAACAAGAGTCTTTTTTTTTCTAAAAGGGTAAACTTGATCCACCTACAACCCTCAAGACTTGCAAGCACTTCGGTTTTTTAAATTCCAGGGAAGATGAGCAATGCCTTGCATTGAATGATAATAATCAATGGAAAGAGCAGATGAATGAGAAAGTGTAGCCTACGCGCCTCGAAATGAGGAGGAGTAGAGATGATGAACTCCACAGCATTGGCTATGTCCTCGGCTAGTAGGGGATCCATGTCTGACATCACGAGGGTCAGAAGGTCTTCTGGCACGTGATCCAACATCTCCGTCCTTACCACCCCTGGAGATACTTGCTTAAAATTGAAATTAAAAACCAAAAATCTGCCAGAAGTGTGAATCTTTAATTTCAGGACACCGGAAGTTCACTGAAACTAAATCAAATAGCCATCATCTTTAGCATTCGAAATGTCTTGAAATCATTAAATTAAAAATAACCTGGAGAAAAGAATGGTCCAGTTCCATATGTGCCAATATCCATAACAGGGGCACTTCAAGTAAGCTGATGAAAGTTCTAGGAATTCTCACCGTTGCTCGGATGTTCCTCTTCGTTTCCTTCAGCTCCAGTCGTAGAGATTCTGTGATGGCCGTAACAGCAAATTTTGATGCGGTATAAGGCACGGAAGCAAATTCGAATACCCAATGGCCAGCAATGCTACGAAATCAAAAATGGACTTTTATGAAACTTTTCAAGGTGTACTTTAGTTTATTCAAGAGGGAGAACGTGAATGAGAACAACTCTCTGAATTACATGGAGCGAGTGAATTTCACCACGCAATGAACGAACTATCTTCATATACAAGATACTAGAGTTGTTCGAAAAATAACTTCATGAGGATTCAAACACCAAATTTGTCATTCCCGTATTGGTGAGGGCTTCTGAATTTGATAAATGGCTTAGAGATGTCACTGATATCATGAAGTCACGTAGAGGATATTATTCATTACGTGGGTAGAGGCCATCAATATGTCAACCCAACTTCAAGATGATCTTCCATTGAGATATGGAATACAATTCATTTTTGTTGTGAGAATATTGTCGGGAACAGGGATTCATCGGGAAGTCTTTGCTTTTTATGGACAAAATAGGTCTCAGTCCGCTGAGTGCCCAAATAATTGACCGAGGGTCACAAGGACAACTGCATGGCATGCTTTGTCGTCAACTTGCAGTGCAACCCTCAAGAGGGACCGAAATTCAACACATTGACACAGGCGACAAAATCTGGGTCCACCACTGCAACCAAGAGAAGAAAGGAACTTCAATGTCATGGAAGCATGTCTCATCGCCGTTGTCAAAAAGTTCAAAGCGACATCATCAGCTGGGGAAGTGACTACGTTTTCTGGGATTCGGAAGGCGTCTTGTTTCTTGACTTCTTGGATCATGCTTCAACTGTCGATGTCGATGCCTACTGTGCAATGCTGGCGAAGCTCCTCCGATCCATCCGCAGAAAACTTCCCGGACTCTTCAGAAGAGGATACCTCTCGAATCCATACAGCGTAATGACTCTTGGAGCGTCTTGGGTGGAAAATCTTGAACAACCTTTCCGCAGACAGGACTTGGCGTCTTTCGACTACCATCTTTTCAGGCGTGAAGAAGATTCTGGGAAGGACACATTTCCATAACGACGAAGAAGTGGAAACGTCTGTGCAGCAGAGAAAAAAATCTGGACCGGTCATTTTTCGGGAGGGAATAGACAAGCTGGTAACAAGATGTGACAAACGCTTCAGCAAGGCTGGCGACAACGTTGAAAAATAAAGAGCCCTTAGGGCTTCACAGTTATTAATTTACATAGCTTCATTAACTAAATATTTATTTGACAGCCCTTGTAAAGTTATTTTTCAAATAACTCTCGAATATGAATTCAACTTCATTTTTTGGGAATAACTTGTGGCAAATATAAAAACATGTAGGTCTTCTTGCTAAGGAAAAACATAAAATCCTAAAGCAGCAGTTCATGTATACATCTTTAAATTGCTGCAACATATCTTCATGTACAGGGCGAAGGGGTCATGGAAAAGAGTGGGTCAGACCTGCCAATGTTGATTATGTGTCCTTCGTCACAATCTCTCTCCTTCAAGGATTCTACTGTCTTCTTTGCACAGTAGCAATATGCAATCACATTCAAGTCAAATAATTCTCTCCACTCCTTCCGGTTTCCATCTACGTCGAAGGTATGCAGTTTATTACATATTCGGTTTCAACCACTGCAACACATCCATAACATAAGAAAGATAGTGGTGAATAAATTGTATTCATACCAAGGAGCGTCTGGAATGCCTATCTTAGCGGCATTATTCATGCAGACGTCTATTCCTCCCCATGTTTCCATGATTTGGGAAAACATGGCATCCACTTCCTCATCGTTGGTCAGGTCGCACTTGATGGCCATCATCGTGCCTTTATCTCCCAATTCTTTCACCATTTCCTAAAGAAAATGAGAATTTTAACGAATACAAAACACCAATTAATACATGAATTTCGCATGGAAGTTAGATTAGGAGAAAAGTACCTGGATAGAATCGACCCTTCTGGCACATGCAGCGACCTTCATGCCTGTCTTAGCCAACTTCATAGCAATAGCAGCACCAATCCCTGCACTCGCACCCGTCACAAGTGCTACTCGGCCCTTCCACCGCTCCATGATCCTAAGAGCTATGGTGTTATTTCGCTCAAGGTTTAATTGCATACATACAGACTATTCAATGTGAAATCGATCATCAAACCAGCGGAAACATAATTTTTATTAACTGGCACCAAGTAACTGGCACCAAGAACAACATATCTTGTGCATTGAAGATTAAATACATCTACTTGAACACTTTTCCCTAAACATTTCTCTCACCGAGCCAAAATGCATCATGCAGGTTCGTCGAAACTCATCCGACGAGCCTTTGGCTCTGTATTTTAATCATGTCCAAGTTTTGTCGCCATAAATCTTTACTAAAGTGAAATAACCGGACACCAAACCTGTTTAACTAGCTGCTGAGAGTAAGATGCTAGACTCCATAAACGAGTCTCGGTCCCGATGACTTTCCTGACGTTCACAGGAAGTTTCTCTCAGCATATTCTAATTTTTGGAATCCGACAGAACATGCACAAATAACCCATCAGGAGTGCTCTGTGTGGTTTCGCTCTGCTCAAACATACTTGATCAAACGCCAGAAGTGTCTCAAACATCATCAAGATATCTCACCTCTTTTTTGTCGATGTTCTTTTTGTAGATTGCATCTTGATATTTATGGACATTGAAAAAAATGAACAATGCATACAAAAGCACTAAACATAGAGTCTTACGGAAAACGATAGGCGAACATAAACCTAGGTACATCGAACGTCAAGACCATCAAAAGGCGAGATACTTCGCACCTCAAGAGGACGAAAATGTGAGAAGGTGAAACTAAAAGGAATAGCAGTGAGGAGAGACAAGAGGCCAAATGAGAAGCGGTTGGCAAGGCTTATTCCATCAGGGGAGAAGGTAACAACTCGGAATTTCAGCCGATTCCCAAAGGACCAAAGAGAAATTTCAAAATAATGTGAATGGTGAACTTCATGATACATTTCAACTGACGAGGGTGCCTAATGGATAAGAAGAGGAATCAATACATTTATGTATTTCCTAAGATTTGTCCCAACCTAATGACTCGTCCTCGAATCCTGACCCAAGTGGTGAACACATCACCTTTCCCGATTATCTGTAGGGTACGGCATTCAGAGTTTCAAAGGGGGAAACTTCCAGCATCGCACTTATTAATCCCCAATCCCTTCGCTCAGTCGAATTTCATCATTTTCCTCTATATCAAAAACGTCAACTCCCCGTTTCGCTGCTAAACCCAGTAGAACAATAATATTGAAGTCTTATTCCGAATTGAGGCCATCTCACTTGATGGTATCGACCCGTTTTTTTCCGGTTTCTATATTGCACCTGCTACTGTGCCTTTTTTCTTCTCATTTACTCTCATTTTCTCATCTTTGCACACCTCCAGATGTGAAGCGCCATACACGATAGCTTTATTCAACCAAGGAACCAGGAAAAAGTTTCCTCCATGGTTTAGCACCACGTTCTTCATAAGCATTTTGTCTGCATTTAGAAATCCACGAAATTCACCGTTTTTGCCCCCGTGTGCACGATAAATGGAGCACCCAGATGATTACAAGTGAATCGAAGTGAAGACACTGGACCACGTCTCACAATTTTTCCTGAGTTGGCCGCACGATAATATCATTCACCTGATAAAAGTGCATAAAATCGAAATCATGATTCACTTGCAAAGATTACGTCTCTTGAATTGCTTGTTCTCAAATCCTGTCTGAAATAGTATTGCCTACAATCTTCCCCAATTGCAGGTGCTTCATCTTGGAAATTCAAGGGAATAAAAGAATTACGTATTATTGTTTGATATGATAGTATGAAAACACTCAGCATACGCACTTCGACGTGAGGAGGGGCAGAGAGAATGAATTGAACAGCATTGGCCATGTCCTCAGGTTGCAAGGAATCCTTTTCGGATACTAGTTGGAGAATCGCTTCTTCCGGAAGAAGACTCGCCATTTCCGTCCACACAAGCCCAGGACATATTTGCTTTCGAGAAAAAAGCAACTGGTAACGTCTTTAATTTTTAACAAGGGGTGACTGCCATTGCAAACAATCCACAATATGTAAATTTAAAACTTGAATTCATGCGATCGTTTCACTGACTCTCCCGAGCATGGAAAGTCATTGCAATCGAAACGACATTTTCTGGAATTTTACAATATTGTTATATAAATGCAATAAGTACCTTTGGTTATAGCAATAAAGATGATTGATTGATTGTTGGTGATTCTAATCCACACTGTTGCATTCCATTATGCTCTTTCTACAATAGCATGCTTGTGAACAATGTAAAAGCACTCAGAAGTGTTGTGATTGCTATCGTTGCACATTTGTATGCCATTATGAAGGAATTCGAAAAAGGCAATCGCATTGCAATTCCAATATTGTCCAGGCCTAATCAATGGGAAAATTATTGCCATAGTCATACTACAATTATTGTAAAACTCTCACCGATGCCCGAATATTTTTCTTCATCTCCTTTAGCTCTAGTCTAAGAGCTTCCGTCACAGCTGTAACAGCGAACTTGGATATGTTGTAGAGCTTGGGGTCCACCTCAAATACCCAATGACCAGATAGGCTGCATAAACAAAAGCAATAGCGTTTCCTCGACTTTCAATCCGCATAGGAAACGCTAGCTAATTCATTTTGTTTGTGTCGCCATGGACAATCCAAAAAAGCAAAAAGCCAGTTCTCAATTGTTCTCCATAGAAATAGAGTTGCTCAAAAGTGTAGTGTTACTACAGCAGACTCGCAGTAAGAGTGTTAAGAGAGTACGAGTCTTCATCAGTAGTTGTGTACTTACATGATGAGTTAATATTCTGTTTAAGTTACTCTGGTTGACGTAAAACCCATCCTTCGTAAATCATGTGTGATTTTAACTCAAGTAAGAAAATTTAATTCAAGTAATAAAATCTAGTCTCATGCATGCTTCAAACCTGCAAATGTTGATTATGTGTCCCTCGTCGCAATCCCTCTCTTTCAAGGACTCCACTGTCTTTTTGGAGCAATAGCATAATGCTACGACATTCAGATTCAGCACATCTCTCCAATCCTTCCTGTCACCATCTGAGTTGAAATCACAAAGGTTAGACGATGAGATATTGCTCTACCACTCGGTCAGAGTGAAGGTGAAATATAATATTTTGTTAAATTTATCCTTGCCGATAATCGTCTGTGTTCCTAGTTGAGCAGCGTTGTTGATGCACACATCAATGCCTCCCCACGTTTCCATGATTTGGAAGAACATGGCATCTACTTCCTCATCGTTGGTCAGGTCGCACTTGATGGGCATCAATGTGCCTCCTTCCCCTAACTCTTCCACCATTTGCTAGCGAAAAAGCGCAAATAATATCATACAAATCACATCATGTGAAGATAAACCCGCTCCATTTTATTTTCAACTTTCCATTCCAACTCTCTTTCGGTAATCTTTCGGTAAGTATTGATACATACATATTGCATCAGTGAACAGCATTAGGGTAATACCAATGTCAGGAGCAAATCCTGGAACTGCGAAAGCCCTCACTTATTATTACCGTCTCCGGAAATGAATTTGGCATTTCAAGCTATCAAATTATCATGGCTAAGCCGTTAAAAACGTTGGAGCGCGAAGAATCAGAAAGAGATGTCCATTATAAAACTTTATTGGAAAATAGTTCTACTTCATGAACCAGATCTGTATAACTAAGTTGGTTTCTTGCTCAGCGCAAGAAAATACAAATGAAGAATTCTTCCCCTGACGAGAACTTCTTGATTTTTCGTC